ATGCTTTATCAGAAAAATATGAATTATCCCAAATGAAAGATTATTAAGCATAGTTCAGAAATATCATGTTTCTGAGAAAAAAGGCAAATTAAATATGTAATTTATGTTAAGAACAATCTTCAAAAAAATTAAGATAAGGCAAAACTCTCAAATTGTTGATCTTTTCAGCATAATCCTCAGCAATTTAAGCTCCCAGCAGCTATCTCTACTTTGAGAAAATGTTTTCTAATAACTCAACCTCTCATATATCAATGGCTGCTAGATTCATAGAAAGAGACAACCAGATTACATGCCTCTTTGGTGGGTATTTATAATGCTACTTATGAAGTATTTTTGCCAAAATATCAAACCTGAATCACACCCAGACTCTAGATCTAAATAATAAATTTTAAAAAATTCAGGTGACCAATAAAAATATTAACTGTCATCATGCAGAAGCATTCTGCAGAGTCCAGACTTCAGAAATCTATAGAATTAACAACCCAATTCCTGCAATAAATAAGTTGAAAGAAAAGACAGGGGAAAGGAAAGATAGAGGGAAAACTGTAGATTAAACTAGATAGAAGAGACTGGTGTCAATTTCAACCAATTTCATTGTGTTGATTTTATGTTTATCTTTATTCAAATAAATAAATTATTAATAACAGTTAAAAATAAATGAAAAGTGATATGTGTAAAAATTGGAGGAGACTGTTATGGACTGAACTGTGACTGCCCCCCCAAAAATTTGTATGTTAAATCTTTAAAACTCAGCATCTCAAAATGTGACTATATTTGAAGGTAGGGCATTTAAAGGGATGATTAAGTTAAAATAAGGCTGTTGGGGTGGGCCCTAATCAAATCTGACTGGTGTCCTTACAAGAGAAAATTTGAACACACCAAAGAGATACCAGGGGCTTGAGTACGCACAGGATGACTATGTGAAGAAGCAGCTGGAGAGCAACCATGCGTAAGCCAAGGAGAAAGGCCTCAGGAGAAACCAAAACTGTAAGAAAATAAATTTCTGTTATTTAAGCCTCTCAGTCTGTGATATTTTGTTATGGCAGCCCTAGCAAACTACTGTGAGAAAATAAATTTCAGTTGTTTAAGCCACCCAATTTGTGGTATTTTGTTATTACAGTCTTAAGAAACTAATACAGATGCTAAAATGATGAATATGTCCACCATTATATTAATCTTAAGAAGCACATATGGGTATGTAGAAGGAGATACACTGTGGATCCTAGAGCAATAAATCTCAACTGATGAAATGGAGAGAGAATCAAGCCTCCTGGGGTCACATATAGTTTGAAAAAGCCACAAAAGTGATTCTGAATTTTCTTCTCTCCCCACTTAAAAACACTGTCTTGAATCCAAACATATACAAGTTATGTCAGTACTTCTTTTGGTCACTCAACTGAATCTATTCACATTTTTATAGTGAGTTCATATATAGTTTCACCAACTAGAATGTAAACATTATCACTAGGGCTTTGCATTATTTATGATATTGGAACTGACTCTACTCATTCCCTTCTATTTACATCCAAAATTCTATGCCAATTTACTGTTTACTTTCTCTCTCTTCTTGCTTATAAATTGTCTACCCTATTAAAAGGCATTGCTGTGACAATTCCAAGTTTCAGCTCCCCACTATGTTCCCATCCACTCCATCTCTTAAATGTGTTTAAAGCATTAACAACAGGTTGTGTTTCATCCTAGAGACAGCTGGGTTTCGGGGAGAGGTAAAATGTTTCATTATCTTACTCTATTGTCCAAGACAAATGTGCTATTGTATTACATGTGAAATGTCATCTTTGAAGTCTATTAAGGGTGTGCTGTGAAGAGAGCCATCTGGAAAACAGTGTAGACTGGAAGATAATTAAAAGCCAGTTTATTGCACTGTTTTTCCAGTTAAGCCTACCATTACAGCTGCTAAAAACACCATGTAATGTAAAGGGTAGACGCTCTAAAGCTATATAGGTTAGACCCTACCTCCAACAATGATTAGCTAGTGTGCAAGTTACTTAACTTCTCTGATTCTTTTGTCTTGTTTGTAAAATTCAGATACTAATGCATGTTGCATTGGAGTTTCATAAGGGTATGAAATAATACTTGTAAAGCACTTACAACAGAGTAGACAATAAGTGTAATTTCTCCTCTTTTTTTTAAATATAGAGGATACTTAATACTCTTTACATAGAGAATATTAGGTAATCCAATAATATTTGGAAGCCAGGTTGAGCAGGTTGGTTTTGTGAAGAAGTCCGTTGAGCTTCCATGTGATTTCCTTTGAATTTCAGGCGAGAAGAGGCTTTGGTAGATCAAATTTGAAGCTTCCTCAGGAATTCTCAATCTGGAATGGATTAGGACCACCCAGACATGTTTAGCGGAGAAGCGCTGTCCGTGGTGCTAGTGATCGCGCATACCCCTGACAACACTTCTCCCGCCCTAAGTTCTTTTCCAGTCAACTTGTTTAGCGAAGCTCATGTATCTGTCTTGTGGAAGAGTCTCGGTCACTCGGCCCAATGGCTTTTTCCTATCTTATCACTCTTTATCTATGTCCCCTTCAACAACAACAAAAAACACACACACACACACAAAAAAAACAATTATCTTCCATCTCCTTATCAAATCCAAAAAGTTGTTTTGTTTTTTTTCAGACACTTTAACCATGCCTACCACTTAAGAAGGTGGCTCAAAAATTGGCTCAGGCTATCTTTCCCTAACCTCTTTGTTAAGTTTCAGAAAAATCCAAGGTGAGAACACAGGAAACAGTTAATTTACAATGCATTCTTTAGAAACTCTCTTCAGCTGGCAATTCCTCTAAGAAACTTTCCCTGCACCTCCATCTAGAGCTAAGTTCCTTTCTTCCTTACTCGTCAAGTACTGTGTAGACACACCTCTCTGTAAAGTTATCACATTAAGTTGAAACTTCCTATTTAGTAGTTTTGAGTGTCATTAGGGAGAGTTTCTTGAAAGCTAGGACCTATATCTTATCCAACTGTAGATTCCTGAAATATAGAACATGATGAACTAAATTTTGTTGAACTAAATTAATTACTGGATCCATTAGAGGGAAAGTCCAACAATGTTCCTTTGAATGGCAACCTGCCTTGCTTGTTACATTTGGCTGTGCACTGAATTTCAGAGTAGCTAGGCTGTTCTGATAAAGATATTCTGCACTGAGCTCATTTGCCACTTCATCCATCTATATGAGTCTGACGACTCAGCCCCTAAGAGGGACTAGCAGAGAAAAAATGCCATCCATTTCAGAGACCCTGTCTTCCTGCTGTCCATCTTTCCTCTTCCTTCTCCCATCCTGCCTAAATACCTGTAATTCCCAATACACTGCGTGGGGACGAGCCCCAAGAACTAGACAAAAACAGCCCATTGAAGCTTTTCACCCAAAAGTAGACTTCTATTCCTCTGACCAGATCAAAGAATGGAGCCACCATCAACAAACAAAAAGACAATTTTTTTCCAGGTAAAAGTGGAAGCTCACATAAGTGTGAAAGTTAGAGGAATTAAGAAACCGAAAACTAAGAAATTGGGGTGGGGTGAGAGAGAAAAAAAATGTTATTAATGCTGCCACCTTCTCTTCCCCATCCAGGTGGATCTCCACTCTGTTGAGGATCATACAGTATATCTTCAGCTCTAACCACCACTTCCATGCCCCTCCCCTAGTCTTTAAAGAGCTCATCCTCATTCTACAGTGGTTTGAGGAGAGGGAGTCCAAGCTAAGGCATGCTAGAAAAAACATGTGGCGTCTCTCATTCGTGAGTAAGCAAACAATTGTCCTGCCTTTAAGATTGTCTTTCTCCTTGGCCTTCTGAACCAAAAAATGATGCTGTAAATAAGAACTATTCTGTATTTGGAAAGACCCTCTTTCATGTAGTTCCTCACCAAAGTTTTTAGGCAACAGATACATAACTTGTGGTCTTCTTCCTATTTCAATCAAGCATCAGCTATAATTTTTACATCTTTAAAGCAATGCCTATGTTAATTCAAACTTGCCTAGGAAGATTATAAAGAAAAGAAAAGCACTTGGCCTTTAAATCTTCAGAAGAAGGTTTAATGACAGGTTCAGCCTGTTTAATGACAGGCCAAGCACCACACCCCTGTTTTATTATGTTTCATTATTACCACATACATTTCTTTTATTACTCATGACAAATAAAAATCAAATGCTTGCTGAGGTGGGTTTAAATAGGTAAGAGTGCAAAAAATAACCTGTTCAAATATCATGAAACTGGGGTCTCAGATTCTTAAAATATATTTTTTAAGTATTTTACATGTACTAGGTTGCCAGCCTCAACCTCAAACTACTTTTTGTTTTTGGGGGGTTTTTTTGTTTGTTTGTTTGTTTTTATTTTTTGGTTTTTTTAGGATCGTACCCGTAACTCAAATTCAAAGCAGGACTCTCAGAATTTTTCACTGAAACTGATTTTTGATTGACTCAAATAGGATGACACACCCAAAAGAAAATTGCTAAGGCTGATGCAAGATGTGAAGCTATGAAGTTCAAGGACTGCCTGGGGATGAATTTAACCTGCATGGCAGGTGCAGAGCTGTCACTTTCAGACATCTTAAGAAAGAGAGTTATTTTAAAATGCCTTTCTCCCAACCATTTGATTAGGGAGCGACTAACGTTTCCAGCGTGAAACCACCGAGCCTGAGGCCGAAGGAATAGAAATCCCCTACGCCGCCTGCTGGAAGGAGGGGCTGAATACATTGATTCAACGTTTCCAAAAATTTAGCCAAGGCTTTGCTGGACGCCGGGCAAGCCGCGCAGTGGCCTCCGCATTCCGGGAGTCCGGCGCATGCGTCCCAACACGGTCCATGCTGGCTCCCTCCGCCCCTATCTTCGTCATCTGGAGCGTCATCTGCCGGCCCGGCCTCCCGGCCCGCACAGTGGGACTACAGCGAACCGGCCAGCGGGACTGCGGGCGGAGCCTAAGGGGGTAGGGCGTGGCCAGCCCGGCCGCCCAGCTGGAAACCGTTTCGTTCCTAGCCGGCTCTCCACTCTGCCAGAGCGAAGCTCCGCAGTGAGTCAGGACTTACAACGCGCCCGCACTCTGCGGCCGGAGCCGCTTTGCGCTCAGCTGCGGCCGCACCAGCCGCCTTTCCTGGGAGCGAGCCCGGAGCATCGGCTGATTCGCGGGCGCTGGGTGAAGCCCGACTTAACAACCGGCCGCTTGGCCATTTCACGCGCCCGCGAGGTACAGAAGGACGGAGAAAGGGGACTGAAGCTGAGCTGAGCTCTTCTGCGGAGGAGAGAGGCGCCAGGGAGAGGAAGGGAGGGAGGGAGGAAGGCCCGCGGTGGATCGTCAGGACCAGTTTGCGTCTGGGGGCTGCGAAATGCGGGACGAGGACAAGGGCGTGCTCGGTGGTGGCAGCGGTGATGCGGGCCTGGCCACCGCCGCGGCGCGGGGGCAAGTGGAGACCGTGCGGCAGCTCCTGGAAGCCGGTGCGGATCCCAACAGAGTCAACTGCTTCGGGAGGCGCCCGATCCAGGTAGCTGGGGCCCCGGGGCCTCGCCGGCAGGGGGCGCACAAATGAGGGAGCGCGGCCTCCGTGGGACGCGTCTGGGACCTAGGTCTCCACTGTGTCTCTAAGAAAGGGAATGAAAAACCCACTGCTTCAGTTTGGTATTCTTTTTAATGGTGGGAAAAATATCAATATTTTTCCTCCCTTATGATCAGAGATGAAAGGTATAGAATCAATTTGGGGGAGGGGGGGCAAAGGGAACGTTTATTTGGGGAAAACTGTTTTGTCTGTATGTCTTCCAGCGATAGAGATAAATTACAAGTTACACATGCTGGATTGGATTTAAGGAATCATGCAAAATCATAGCACAGGAAAAAAATGCACCGTGAACTTTTAAGTTGCGATGTGAAATTCTTCGTATTCTTTCTTTACAGAGGTGAATTGAATACAAAGGACACAAAACAGGATTCCTCAACCACAATAATTTAATTCCTTTTGTGTTAGTAGTGTTTCTTGAGTGTTACATAAGAAAATGCTCTATGGATTTGTATTGTTTAATTATCAAACTGAATACTTGGATTACAAGAGCATTCCTGCAACAACTGTTAGGTCCCGTTTAAATGGAAGAGTCTTCATAAATAATTAGCCTCTTCATTGTTAAAATACAGTTATTCAATATGTTTAACTATCAGTACCGCTTTAATTAGCACTGATATTTTTAAGTCTTTTAAAATCTAAGGTAATGTTTTTGTGCTGTACTGTTAACTATTATGGTCATATTTAGTATTCACCTCACATCACTTTCCAGAGCCAAACTTTCATTAAGGAACCATGTTAATAGTGTAGTTTTTTTTTTAAGTATCCATTCCTTTTGAATTCTTAGAAAAGTGTTAGAAATGAGGGATAGTTTAAAGCAATATGGTAAAGTAGTTCTTAAAGACTTAACATGCTATTAATAATGTAAAAAGAGGTTTTATTTAGTTTTAATGTTTTCTGAGATATTAAGAACCACTTTTTCCTCTCTTCTCTATATATGAAGTAGCCTTTATATCACTAGTAGAAATGATAACATGTGGGGGGTTTTTGTTTGTTTTTTTAAATCATATGTCCTCTTTAATAATTCTATAGCTTTAAACAATGTGGTTTTAAAGGGAGAAATGGATGTTTCCAGTGTTCATGAAACAACAAAAAAATACTATATTATCTATCTTTCAACTGCATGGTACATTGTATTTTTATTTTTCAATTACAGTTGGCATTCAATATTATATTAGTTTCAAGCATGGTACATTTTAAAACACAAAGTCACAAGAACAAATAACTCCATTTTGGAGTTATCAAAAATTGTTTTATTGTTAAAATAAGAAAGTAAATACTTGTATAATGTACATGTATACAAATAGGATTACTGCTCCAAAACATCCTTTTTCTAAGTTATGCATTATTCTGATTCAACTGCTAACACATAAGCTTTTTATATAGCAAAATACTTACTATTTAACATTATAAAATCCTAGCACATTATAAAATCCTATGCAATGTAAATATAGTGTTTATTTTACGTTACATTTTCACTCTCTAAACTTTATCCCTTCTAACATTAACTTAATATTTTAAATGATGAACCATTTATTTAAAACAAATAATTTGTTTTCATCATCTTATGAAACAATGTGTAACTATTTACTTTTTCCCTTTATCCCCAATTTTGGCTCAAATTGTCGACTATATTCCGTTTATGAGCACAGACATACTCGTATATAACTGAAAAGCAAAAGACTTCCACAGGGGATTTATTATGAGATCTAATAAAGTAAACCTTATTTTAAATTTAGTTGTTTCTTATTTTCTCCTCTAAAGCATTACTCAGCGGACTGCCTAATGTTTTCAGACCCAGATTATGGCGGGCAGGAGGAAGGGGTAGGGCAAAGGAAATAATTTAAGACTTTGAAAGCCTTTAAATTTCACCTGTCAATCATTTAACAAAATAGATTCCTATGTTAAAATGGAAATTAAAGTTTTCCTTTTTTTCTCACGATGATGACAAACTCTATCGTTAGCTCTTTCTTGTCTCAGCATGTTCGGAAAATAAAATGGAACTCTATTAGTAAAGAGTATAACTGGGGCAGATGGGGGACTGGGAAGGAGGATATTGCGTAAGCAAATGAAACTTAACCAAACTCCTGAGGCTTGTGAGCCAGCTCCTCTGCATTAGTTGGATACTTCACCTGAAGGTATTTCTTTGAAATGGCTCTACCTGTCTGCCCAGGCTTGCATCTTGCTGTCCCCTCTCGTTGACCGCTCTGCTCTCTCCCGCAGGTCATGATGATGGGCAGCGCCCGAGTGGCCGAGCTGCTGCTGCTCCACGGCGCGGACCCCAACTGCGCAGACCCCGCCACCCTCACCCGCCCGGTGCATGATGCCGCCTGGGAAGGCTTCCTGGACACGCTGGCGGTGCTGCACCGAGCCGGGGCGCGGCTGGATGTGCGCGATGCCTGGGGCCGCCTGCCGGTGGACCTGGCTGAGGAGCGGGGCCACCGCGACGTTGCCCGGTACCTGAGCGCTGCTGCGGGAGACTGATGGCGGGTGCACCCAGCCGCCCACAATGACTTTTCTCCCCAGTTCCCCACCCCCAACTTAGTTCAATGAAGGCTGCAAACATGGAGCGGCAGAAAGCGTAAAAGCCACGCTGGGCAACTCAACTCCTCATGCGGAAGAAGAGGCAGACCGGAAATAAATTCTTTTTTCCTGGATCCCACTCTCGACACTCACCGTGAAGCCAAACGCAGAGAGGTGGGGCAAGTGAATTTCCAGCGAGATTTTGGAGCGCGATGTTTAGTTCCCGGATGTTGTTTACTTTGCAGAGTTTTCTGGCAAAAAAAAATAAAGTAGCATTTGAAGAAGTCCACGGAGGACAGATCACACAGAAGATGATGGGGACGGAGTGGGGGACGGAGTTGGGGGCGGAGTGGGAGGCGGCGGTGATTGGAACCCACTGGCCTTAAAGGAGTTTCATGTAAGCCCCCACCCACTGCCGGCGTTAGGCCCTGGGGGCTACGAGGGAAAACCCGAAGACTACGAGGACCAGAGGACTATGATGACTGTCGAAGTGGGTGTCAGTAGACGCCCAATGTTTTACGTACTTTTTGGTACTTGTGTTCAGCAAGTGACGTGCAAACCCATACTCCCTGGAAGCCCTGGAGACTCGGCCCAGCTCTGCAGGATACTTAACGGGGAAGAGAGGACAGGGAGCCTCCTCGAATTTTCCCGCACATTCTAACATCCTCGGGTCAAGCTGATGCAGGACAGCTCTCAGAAAGGGACAGGACCTTGATGATTGTTATTCGGTCCAGGAGACATTCCTGCGGCGTTTCCGATGTCCGTGAACTGAACGGAATGAAGCGGTGGATTGTAGCGACTGCAAATGTAGCAGTTAACTAAAGATTTGCTTCGTCTGTTAACGTTGCCATACAGAAACACCCCTGTAAATTGCCACTTGAAAAGATTTCGTGATATTTTGTACCTCTGAGTTGTTCTTCAGCAACAATCTTACTTAATGGGGAGACTTTAAACAACAAAGTAACTCGATGTTCTTGGTAAAGAGGTGAGGAGGAATTACGGCTCGTAAATGAAGCTATGGCGCAGTGCCAACACCTAGATTACTTTTATTCTTAACCTATTTATTTCTTTGTTAAATTTTGTGTTTCCTTTACTAAAGTGTCTCAGGGGATCAAACTATGAAATATTCCAAATGTCTTCTTAGGTGACCAATGCACTTACCCAGTAAATTATCTCGAAATATTTCCAAATGCGTTGCATTGAGTGTAAAACTGTTGAACATATATGATGATGGCTCGTGGAATGTCTTAATATCTGCTAAAGGTGCACTGCTTTGGGATTTAATTTCCAGTGTTGTTTGATTCATTACAACATTGAAACAACTAATACTTCACTGCTTTAATAAAGAAAAAAACAATAGAGGTTGGACTCCAAGATGTGGGTAATTTGGCTTTAAAATATGTGTTCGTGGATTTACCACTAACTCCTCAGAAATGTAAAAGATTCAAAGGGACTCACATCTCATTGTAACAATTGTTAAGTATTACCAGCAAAAATTTATAAAAGCTGGTTGCACATACATTGAAAGATTAATACGTGTAGTGTGTGTGTGTGTGTGTGTGTGTGTGTGTTGTGTATGAGAGAAGAGGGAACAGAAAAATTAGAGAGATTTATAAGAAAGGGGTATACCTTTGAGCTAAATTTAAAAATTTTTATTTCTCCATCAATTCTTTATTCTTCAAATAAATATATACTGGGAAAGCATAGTTAAGAATCAGAGTATATCTTATTGGGGAAAATATTTCAGCATTTATTAACACATAACTTGGGCCAGGCATGCTTTAAAATACATTTGCTCATTTAAAAACTAAAATAAACCTGGGAGATAGGTATTGTTCCCAGATGAAGACAATGAGACAGAGAAATATCAAGTGACTTGTCAAAGGCCACAAGATCTTTATTCCATGATTGCAGAGGAAGTCTATCGGACTCCAAAGCTTATGGTTTGGTTTTATTTTGTTTTCGCACTGCACCATCCTGTTATCCAAAATGATTAATGATAAATATAAAGTCAGCTAATTTTTTTTTGAAACAGAAACACTTTTTCTCCCTTAGATCCCTAAGGTATCTCCTGAGTAAGTTCCTAGGATACTTTTTATTTCTATAGTATCTAATAAATCTGAAAAGATTCTTTTAAATCTATTTTTAAATGGCAAGAATATGAAGAATGGCCTCCAAAAGAAAGACCTAAAAACAACACTTTTGGAACAAAAATAATGGAATCCCATTTTAAATTAAGCCATAAAGACAGAAAATACAATTCTAATTATCACTTAAGCACCCAGTCATTACTGACTACAAGAATAGTATTTTTAAAGTTTATATTGTTTTACAATTATTAAGAAGCATTGATCACTTAAAATCTTCCATTTGATTATGAAATCCATTATTATGTCCTGTATTTTTTAAGTTCTAAGATATTCAAATCTGCTAGTTACATGAGGCTGAGTAATGAAAAATAATCCTTGAAATAAATATGAAACATGTTATTTCATTCCTAATTTAAAGAAATTATGGAATCTGATGACAACCTGATATTAAGGGGAACTAAAACAAGAAAATGTGGTTCTGGATCTCACAGACCATATTACATTTTTTTAAAATATATATACACTGTTAAGTTTGTTAAAGATTTCATTTTGAAGGACACATGCAAACAAATACAACTCTTACACAGAAGTGCTGCTTCTGGCTCCATTGTGGAATTACAGAAATATATACATGTTAATTTCTATATTGAAGCCTACACTATTACCAAGGTTTCTACAAGTCTTATTCTCTACTCTTCATTCCAAGATCTGGAAGTGAAATAAATTCAGAATTCAATAATTTATTCATTTGGTCTCATTTTCATATTTCCTTTTCAGCTGAGGGGATGGATGAAAAAACAAGGATGATTTACTATGAAAGCAAAATCTGTTAAAAATTTCCTGTGCTGTAATGGCTAAAATTAGTAATTTCAGATCTAAGGAATGGAACAGGTTCATAAGGAAAGCTCTGGATCTATACAACTACAAGCGCCTTTGGGAAAGTGTGTACCTAGGAATGCTTTTATATTTTATTTCTGTATTATGGTAAACACAATATGGTATCCAGGACCAAATAATTTATCTTATGAAGCTAAGTAATTGACCTTAAGCAAATAAACATAACTAATGTAACTTACACTGAGATTCTATATTGCCCTCCCTTTGTGGGAAATGTTAAAAACAAACTACTCTGTTAATATGTAATAGTCAATAGGGGTTGTTTTTCACCACCTCTATAATTAGCTTAAATTATTTCAAAACAAAAAGTTTATTTTCCTTCTATGTTTTATTAGGGGCTAATTATTTTTATAATAGGGTATAGTTTTTCCAATGTTCAAGACATTGGCACTCTACCAAAAGAAAAGCAAGTAAAATTAGTTATCTGCAAAAATAATAGAAACGATCTGAAGAGGGACCCTTGTGGACTGCCTGCTGGAGCAAATGCAAAAGCCAGTGTCACCAAAAGTATAAGAGGTCTGCTTTCATATTTATGTCAGCAGCGAATAATCAAATTCTAATATGCTTACTTAGTTTTCATTATTAACAATTGAGCGATTTTGTGAAAACTCGAAGAATAATTCTTAGGTTAGTGTAATTTCACAATGTTCAATTACTAAGCTATAAGATAGATATAGATAGATAGATAGATAGATAGATAGATAGATAGATAGATAGATGATAGATAATTAAGAAAATTTTAATTTTAAAAATTACCTGAAGAAGCAACAACAGTTGAATCACAACACTTTCAATCTTTTCCTGTTCCATTTATAACCCCAGGGAAGAAAAAGCAAAATGGAAGAAAGAGAAATTAAGACTTGATTGGAAGATGGAAGATCTGGGTTCCAGTATTGGTTCTTCAACTAATTCAATGTGTGACTTACTAAGCAATGTAAGTTTGATTAGCCTCAATTTCCCTCATCTATAAAAGGTGGGAGTTGGACTAGGTTACATCTAAGTTCCCTACCATCACTAAAGTTTTACCCCTTATGAGTTTGTTGCACACATGACTGTAGTGGGCTCTAATATTTATTAGTAATAATTTTACCATGGTATGAGGCAAGAAAAGACATGTAGAAGAATGAAGGGGGGGACACATTTTAAAATTCTGGAGCCCAAAGGGTTTTTTTTGGGGGGGGGGCGGGAATCTTTATAAGCACCTCCACCAGTTAATTGGAAAACCACAGACAAGTTTGTAGGAACTAGAACAGAAAATATGCTTTGCAAAATAAATACTTAGTTTAATTTTAAGGTCTTTCTCACTTCTTACCTCTGATTTTTCCTGTTGCTTTTTGCATTTCTCTCATGCCACTCAGAGTCACCAGAAGAATGTTTCTTAAAGTGAGATAAGCAAGCAGACCCAATAGATTTATCAAATAAGTGCTCTGAAAGAAAAAGTGCTCTTTTAAGTGAGGATATAGCAAGGGATTCTGACCTTAAGTGGGGTTGGGTTGGTGTAGGAGTTAAAACAGAAAGGGTTGGGGGTCTTGGAACAGAAAGTGCAAAGGCAAGAGAATACTAATACATGTTGAAGAAATCATTAGAAGAGGAGTAACTCACTGTAAACAACTGTCATGAGTTTCACAGACCTGTTTCCAAGGGTATGTAGCTTCTGGTGTGCTTCCATTGGGTTCTTTGAAACTTTAGGTCCTTAAATTTTGCCTGGGTGGTAGTAGGACCAGCTGGTCAGGGAAGAGTTCTATATCACCTAAAATATGTACATGTCAGCCATGTCAGGAGGTCAGAGAATGAGATAAAAAGAAAGCAACAAAAGGAATAGAAAAAAGAGCAGCATGGTGGCATTTTGTGGAATATGGGTCAGTAGTTTAACAGAACTAATCAAACCAAAACAAACCGCATATGGTCCACATGCTGATGGGATTTGTGAACTACTTCCAGGCCTAAAATAATGGGAATCTGTGCATCCCCTACTTCCTTGATTTTCTATAAAACTTTTCTCAAGTTCAGCTATTACAAATGGAATGACTTCTTTCTTGCCTATGGAGTCCTCCACTCAGATTTTAATATCATTCCTTGCATTAAGGAAAACATACTTTATAGAAACAGTCCCTTTTATACATCATCCCTCTGTGAATTATATAAGGAAAATTTGCTGTGAGGCCAGTGCTGCTAATGAAGTCATATGTCAC